TCCCCCTATGGTTAATATATCCAGGTCAGGAGCCAGTGTACAGGTTGTCCAGTCACTCTGGTAAAGGTAATTTGCAACTGGCAAGCATAAAGAGTCAAAGAACCAAGAAGTGGTGAAGATCTTCCCACCCATGTTGTCTGTCTCTTTGGATGTGTCATATTTGTTATAGCTACAACTGTTATAAAATATGTGCTTGTCTGGAAAAAAAGAAGTACTTAATTGAATACATAAAGCTACATACATACATACATACGAATATAATAAAGCCACAGAAAATTATAAATTAACAAAAAAATTTTTTAAATTATTAAATAAAAATATAATTCCTGAATAATAAGCGAATAATAATAATTAGGGATGTGCACGTGAGTGGCAAATCTGTACTAGTTTTTATGATGCTTTCTGGGAATTTCTAGTTGCATGTTTCAGAGCAGTGGAATGATTCTGACAATGGTACTGGACTGGCCTAGAAACTCCCTGGCCAGTGTACTTCTGAACTAGGGAGCAGAAGGATACACACTTTGACCTTTCATGCTGAAGATGAAAGTAAAATGATGGAGAGAAGCAGAAGCAGTCAGAGGCACAATCAGAAGGAATGCGTAGGGTGGGGCGGCAATGGCATTTGAGCGCTGCAGACAGTCGTATCCACTCCTCAGCGTGAGTCACAAGGACGCGTTCAGCTGCCGTGGCATTCCTCTGTGTGGATTACTGTGGGGAAACTTTATTTGCTAGAGACTTTCTTGAAAGCTTCAGACAATGGCATACAGTTATAGGGCTACTCTGGGTGAGTTTATAGCCACAACGAAAGACTAAACAGTTTGTGGTTCTCAATGATTTTTGCCTGTTTTTTTTGTTACATTTTTGTCTGTCTCTTTAAGTCCCTCAGATCTGAACACAAATTTGCTGTGACTTTTTAGTTGCTTAGTGCAAGATGCTATTTGTATTATTTGTGCCATTCTTAGACTCATTTTCTGTTACTCATCCTTCCAATAACATCTCGAAAACAGCCTGAAATTGCATCCTCAACTTTTTGGCAAGACTCTAGTCTAAAGTTTTTTTTATTGATATTACTATTTTAATTTTAATATCTTGAATATCGTTTGTGCTCATGTCTATGTCACTGTTCTTTTATTCATTTATTTATTGGGTTATTTTTCGATTTCAAACTGGCTTATAGTTTTAAATATCTCTCTAGATATTCTTTAAACTCAATAATTATAATAATTCAAACCCACCCCCCCCACACACTAAATTAACTGAACTGGACTGCATATGATTGTAAATCTTGTTTACTTGTTCGTGAACCCTCCATCTTATGAATTATTTGCGTGCTCTGCATGTAAACGCCATGCTTTGGAATGCACATCCATCTCCGGCAGACATAACCTGTTTTTCTCTCCAGCTAGTCGTTTATTGTTTTAGAATCATCGTCTCAGAAGCAGCGAAGAGAAACATTTCTTTCTTTAACTTTCCTCAGCTCCTCTTCTCCCCCAAACTCCCTCTCTCTTGCTCTCTTTGTCAACTCTTTGGGTGTATTCCCAGCTGACTGTGTTTGTCATGGTAACAGGCAGCAAGGCAACAGGCCCAGCCACTTGCACTTCCTGAGTGAGAAGAGCTGCCTGACAGATTTGCGTCTGCGCAGAGTGTGTGTGTGTGTGTGTGTGTGTGTGTATGCAGGCAGGGCTAGGGTGCGTGAGGCTGTCAGCCTGTATTAGGTTCAAGCACACTGCAATGCTGCCTACTGCTACCGGGCTTCACTTTATGCTAATGAGGGGAGGCCTCAGGAACAGGCTTCCTTCTCTTTCTGTCTCTCTCACTCACTCCTGACTGCCTGTCTCTGTGCTTTCCATGTGAGCTGGAGAGAAGACTGATCTGTTGTTTTAAATGACACATACATGTTTTACTTGATAAATAGCCCTCATTCTGACCTTAAAGTTGGTTTGAAATCAAAATCGACTTTTTAATTTCTTAATCCATACTCATGGTCTTTTTGTGAATGACTCATTGGCACTCTTTATTTTAAAGGAAAAAATCTTCATAATCTTTCATGAAAATGTAATATCTTCTGAAACATCTTTCTTTCTCGCTGACATCACCAAGTCCTCTTATGGACCATAGTCAGGTAAACACCATAGTTACTGGTTGTACTGTCTTAAGGGACAATCAGTATTTTTTTCAGTATCCTATTCTGAAGGATCATGTGACAATTTAGCTTTGTCATCACAGGAATAAATTATGTTTTATTATTTAAATTTTACATTTAAAACTGTTATAATACAAAGCAGTAATTTTGATTAGTAATAATCTAATTTCTAATAATAATGCATTCTTGTTGAGTATGAGAGACTTCTTTCAAAAACATTAAAAATAATCTTACCAACCACAAACCTTTGAACATTAAGGTATGTTGCATTAAACTATTAAAAAGAGGTGGCGAATGCTGTTCTAAACATGCTAGAGTATCACAGAATTAAAGGTGGGGTAAGTTATTTTTCAAAAACGCTTTTGAAAACTGATTCGGGCCGACTAGAAAAACAAACTTGTAGCCAATCAGCAGTAAGGGGCGTGTCTACTCATGATGTGGAGGAGAGAGCGTTCAGTGCACAGGACGGACATTAGCGAGCTGAGCGACAGAAGGATAGAGATGGCGGATGATAAAAATAAAAAACATACGTTTTTTTTCATACGTACGCCTGGGTTGCGTACGTATGTGTGGGGCGGAGCTATCAAAATAGGGGCGAGACCCTTTTGGGGTAGGGGCGTGTTTGTTTTGGTGATTTCAAATGTCAACATTGGCTACCAGAAATCGCTTACCCCGCCTTTAATAAAATGTATTAATGTAGCGCAACTAGTAGATTATGGTGCAATAAATTCCAAGGTCTTGAGTTCAGTTCTCTGGAAACACACATCCCGTACTGATCAAATGTACGGTATAATTTGAATACCGTGAAAGTCGCTTTGGATAAAAGCAGCTAGCAAATTAGTGAATTAAATTTAAATGACTACTTCAATACATGACAGAAACCATTCATCAAATGATCTTTTTCTAAAATAGCTTCCACATTTGAGTCACGCTATGTTGTAAGCACAGTGAAACGTTCCAGTGTACAATTTTAAGTTTTTCAGTCCATCTGTCAATGGTGTCTCCATAACCCCAACCCTTTTTCTTCTCTCCTTGCAGAGCAATGGTGAATTAGTGTACTGTAATATTACGGTGGCTCATGTGATCTGTTTTAAATCTCGTAGCATGAACCTAGTGCACAGTAGATGAGAACACAGCTGCCTAACATTCAAAGCTCAGCATAGGTCACACACTCGCTCCTCCTCTCTGTCCCCCTTTTCCACCGAACACTCAGCTGGATCTTGTCTTCGTGCAGCCAGCATGTGTTTAAGCAGGGAGTGATCAGGGCTTTGCGCTCATGTGACACATTCTTACCGTGAGTACTTACTGAAAGTCTGACACACATTTGCCTCCCTTCTCGCTGCAGCATGGCTCAGGAAGGAGTAGTCAGAGCTGTATTCCTGTAAACGCTCCTGCAGTAGCAGCTCATGCAGTACAGTTATTTCCAGCAGCACATCTTTCCCCGTAACTCGAGGGTGAATTCTCGTGCTGAGATGTTGTTGTTAATGTCCTGTTCGAGATGCTGTGATTGCATAAACATTGTGCGTACATCTGAGTGTCTTCCCATATTGTTACCTTATCTGCTTGGCAGTGTTGTAACGTGAGGCATTTTGGTATCTTTGCAACGAATGCACAGAGACTGTACTGACTCACCCCAGCGGCGGCACCGAATGCTAATATGACAACAGCTTGCAGGCCAATGTCATAGCAACCAAGCTTCAAGCCACAAATCTGTTTATCGAAACATTTTCTTGTATTTTTAACCAAGTCTGTTTGGTCAACTGGGTCATACCAACTGTTGTATTCATCTATTGGTTTTATAGTTTCAAACATGTTTTTATGAAAATAGCCATTCATAAAAAACTATTACAAGTGCTATTATTTATTTTAAACATTAAATTGGTGTTTTTGTGAATCATCAAAATGTCGAACCAAGATTGAGTGATGTTCTGGTTCTATTTCCCCTGGCACTTTCTTTACTTTCATGTCACCTTCTACACCATGATTTCAAATAAAGGCAGAAAAGCCTAAAAAACTATTTTTAAAATGTTTTTGTGTTATTCTGGACCGTGTTATTATTTAAAAGTGAAATGTGCAGTTTCTGTGAACTAGCGGCATTCAGCAGAATATCAAAAATTAATCAAACTGGTTCCCCAAACACACCCCCTAACTGATATTAGTCAGATAAACCACCAGCCCCGCCCCCGAACTCACCTCATTGGTTGAGCTAGTGCTGCTATGGTCAGAATTCTCAAACAAACAGAGCAATGTTTTGATAGTGTCACAGTGTTTATACTTTTCAGCAGATTTAATGCTGCCATCAAATGCACCTAGGAAACTTGTACCTCCGAGTCAGGCATTCATTTTTATGACATCACGCATTCAAGTAGGAGTCGAAAGTAGCCTAAACAAAACAAAATAATTATTTTGTGATAAACCCATCTGAAATTAAAAACATTTTCTATTACTTTTATATATATAGATATATTATTTTATGTTGTCTATATTGTAAATCAGTGTTTCGGCCATGTTTTAAATCAACACTCCCATTCCAATGTCACATTTCAGCAACATAACTTATAAATATGATATTTCAAACTTCATTTGAAGGCCACATAACCTAAAATTGGTTAACTTGTTGTTGTCTCGACATGTTCATCTGCCATGGAGAAAGTATTTTACCATAGAAAGAATTACACACCATTAATATCTCCGTTTCTAGAAATGAGTGTATTTTTACCATTAGTTATTTTTCTGTAGATCAAGAGATTTATATGGAACTAGTGCTGAGTCATAAGCGAGATAAACACCAATGAGTCATAAAGGTAATGAGTGGCTGTATGGCTAACGCTCTCTCTGTTTCTCTTTACTTCCTAAGCAGATATATGTTGGGTAAAGGGGCAAAGCGGAAACTAGATGAGGATGAAGAGGGGCTGGAAGGCAAAGCGTTGGCGGCAGGGGCCGGAGCGATGGCCAACGGGCTCTCGAAGGTCTCCTACACCCTGCAGAGGCAGACCATCTTCAACATGTCTTTGATGAAGCTGTACAACCACCGGGCCCTCACCGAGCCCAGCTTGGAAAAGCGCGTGCTCATCAACAACATGTTGAGGCGCATCCAGGACGAACTGAAGCAGGAGGGCAACCTGCGGCCGCTCTTCTTCCCCCCTTCACCTCCTCCCGACGACCCCATGGATGAAGGTTTCCGCGAGGCGCAGCCTGCTTTCAGCGTGTTGTCCATGGTTGCTCCACCGCTGTCCCAGTCACCGGCTCTCTCCTCTCCGGTCCTGACATCGCCTTCGCTAGTGCTGTCAAACCCAGCGCCTTTGGAGGCCTGCCTCACCCCAGCTTCGCTTTTAGAGGAGGACAGTGTCACGCTTTGCACATCACCCTCTCCGCTGGCTCCTCCTCTTCCGCCAACACTTCCCAGACTCCCTTCAGCTGTAGCCAGAGACAGCTTCTCTTCTGCCCTGGATGAGATTGAGGAGCTCTGTCCTTCACCCTTACCTACAACTACATCAGCGCCTGGTGCTACCTCCCTCTCGTCCCTTACAGTGTCCCTCCAACTGCCGTTGTGTCCCCCCAGCTTAAACTCAGGGGCCTTGGACTCCAAAGACTGCAGTAAGCCCTGCAGCCCAAAGCTTGAAGGGCTGGTCCCGCTGCCTGAGGAACACTCTGCGGTCCCTAACGCGCCAGAGACTCTTCCTCCTAACAGCCTGGATATGAGCACCTCACCCTCCGCCTCGTCCTCGGGCTTTCTGACAGACCTGGCCCTGGACGACATCCTCTTTGCAGACATTGACACTTCCATGTACGACTTCGACCCTTGCACCTCGTCCTCGGGCACGGCCCCCTCGAAACTGGCTCCTATGGTGACTGCTGACGAGCTCCTCAAGACTCTTTCACCCTACAGCGGTGGCGCTCCTGCTGTCAGCTCGAACCAGCCTTTCAAAATGGACCTCACCGAACTGGACCATATTATGGAGGTGCTTGTGGGATCATGACCGGGTTTGGAAGGGAACTAAGGAAGAAATGCAAAATCAGTCAAAGAGTTTTTAAATATGAACTGAGAACGAAAACTGAATAATCACTTTGTGAGTGTTTGGGGGCTTTTTGTACAGTTTTTTGTTTGTTTTGTTTTTAAAAACAAATGAAATTGTCCATTTTAATGGTGATGTTACCCAGTACTACTTCTTAACACTGTGCATGCACTGTGCTTGCCTTTCCCAAAAATGAACATGAAGAAATCTTACAGAACACACTTTGGCTTCTGGCTGATCTGAGTGCCTTCATCATTTATGACCACTTGCTAAATTCCTGTTTGTTTGTCTTGTCTCATTTTCCTCCTCATCATTTCTAATTGAACCAGATGGATTATTAGAGGAGTAGCGTCTCTCCCCTTCTCAGCATACAGGTGCAAGAATTTGCAACAGCAGCCTATTTTCATATTTTTCTTTCAATTTCACGAAGCACAATGAGAGCAACTTGGAACGTTTTTTTTCTATTCAAAGCTGTTTTATTGCTTTTTAGTAATATTTAAAGTAGTCTGTTAATATGTGGTCATTTATTAAAAAAATGTCGTCTGCTTCCATTTTAACATTCATTAAAGGGATAGTCCACCATTTACTCACTCTCATGTCTTTCCAAACCTATATAAGTTTCTTGATATTTTAAGATATTTTAATTTTTTTGTCCATATAATGAAAGTCAATGGGGTCCAATGTTGTTTTGCACCCTTTTTTTAAAATAGCTTTTCATGTTTCACAGAAGAAATAAAGTTACACCGGTTTGGAACGACATGGTTAGTAAATGATGATAATTTTAATTTCAGGTGAACTACCCCTTTAACATTCAATTAGTAAAACATATACATTTATTGAAATATACACATTTATGAAATATGCTTTACTGGATTATTTCTACATGCATGTGTGTAGTGGTCAGATATTTACAGTCAACCAACCGAATTTCTTGTGATCTGCCATAATGGCTCAGATTCCGTGTGTTTACATCTCAGCTGGCAATAAGTGAACATTTGTTCTGATGCACATTGTTTTACAGATACATTACTTTGATAAGCCAATGCTAAAACCCCTTTATGCTACAAATAATGTATGCAATCAATGCTTTTCTGATCAGTAATAAGCAAACTGTCAACTTTTCTCACCCATTTCCTTTTTTATCTGTGTCAAGGCATTGTCGTAACTTCTCTTTTTTGGCCTTTGTTTTGTCTTTATATCATCACTCAGTGAGTGGCTTGTTCAGTTTTTAATGCTACACTAATGCACAACAAGAGGGTCTATGCATGTCTGTTCATGCAAAATGGGGAAAAAAAACTGTACCGGGCAAGAAAGTTTATGGTTGCTATTCAGTTTGTTTTTTTAACCATTTCCATCATCATCATCATCTGTTTGCCAAACATTTCTTTCATGTACATCTCTCACCAGTACAACGGTACATTTCTGTTAACATACTAATGCATGCAGGATTATAGCTCATAATTGTACAGATGTCAGATGATTTTTGTATGGTTTGGTCTTATTTTATCTTATTTATACCATTGTTTGTTTGAGTTTTATTAATGGTATCTGTTCATGGTCCAATCAGACTCTCTCTCTGTTGTCCTGCTGGGTTTTAGTGTCTTTTGGCCAGTAGAAATGTTCGCATTACATTTAGGTGGAGTTAAGTTATGCACAGGTGTGATGGGAGAGTATTCTGCATGTATGTGCAATAGACCACACAGTATAAACACTTGGTATAAACCACTGATGTTGATCAGATGAGGTTTGGAAGGATTATTTTATGTGCACCTGACATAAAAGGAGAGGGACCATTTATCAAATCAGCTGTATTAGTTTCACATGGCGTTTGTCACACTAAACTAGCTTACAATAATAATGTTAGATATACATACCGACAAAAACTGTGCATAATATGCCTTCCTTGTAAGAATCAATTAAACAATGTAGAGTGCAATGTCAGAGAGGGAAGAAAACGTTTATATTTAAATGAAACATTATTTATCATATAAGTGTGACCATTAATAATCTGGCTTTTGAACCTAAGACAGAGGTGACAATTTAGATTGTATCCCCCAGAGTTCAGAAGAGAGATTGTCTGAGAATTGAAAACATGAGTGAATGAGAGCCGAGCGGACAAATCTACGGAATCAAAACTATGATTAATATTACTTATTATAGGATTTTTTTGGATTTGGAGTTTTTGTTTTGTTATTTATTTTTGTTTCCTGTGTAAATATATTTATTTTTGATGTGAAGCTAACATTCAGATTGTAATTTGTACAGAATAAGAGATAGGAATGTATTATGCTTATGGGAATGTATCACTGCTTATTAATTGGGGTGGAAGCCATTTTTCGTCTTGTTTTAATAATGCATTATTTTGTGTCTGTTTAGTTTCTTGTATTATAATTTGGGGTGGTGTTTGTGCTAGTCGTCTAGGTCAACACTCCCTGCCCCTATTTAATTATAAGTATTTAATGTTTTATATATTTCAGATTGTGTGCAAGGGAAAGGTTTGTGAAGCAATACTTTATTCTCTACAAACTTCAGAATTTCAATCTTCCAAAGCCTATTTCTGGGAAAATCTTTTTGATAACCCTCAATGCCAAATGTAAAAAAAGAAAGGCAGCATGATTTCTGATGACATTGGTTGTTGTTTTTTAATGGTATCTCACTGTCCCATGGTTCAGACCACACGTTCGGGGAAGTTTAACGTGGTTTCAGGATAGTGACCACTGGGATATATGTGTGTACATGTATGTGTGTGTGTGTGTGTGTGTGTGTGTGTGTGTGTGTGTATGAAAAAGAGAGACAGCATGTGGTGGAGGGTCTAACCCCTTTTTCTGCTCATTAAGAAAGGCTGTATCTTCAGGCCTTGGAGCTGTGCCTTTTTCTATGCAATATTACAAACATATTCATTTTGAGAAAAATAATAACCCATCAACTGATGATCACTGTATTTGCATCAAGGTGTGGACTGTAGAATATATATATAAAATATGGACACGTGTCTATGAATTTGAAACAGTCTTACTTTTCTAGTTTTATATCATACAATAAATGGATAAAAATTACACTCAGTGTTTGTTTTCTTCATCACACTAAAACATGCCACTATTAAAGATTATATAGTGAGTGCATACACTTAAAAAAATGATGGTTCTTTATAGGATCTGTGGTTCAATGAAGAACCTTTAACATCTATGAAACCTTTCCAGTGCACAAAATGATTCTTTATTGTGGAAACAGGTTCTTTGGACTGTTGATTTCTTCAAACTAAGAAAAAAATGGTTATTTTAAGAACTGTTCCATAAAGGTTTTTTTACCTCAAATGAACAGGTAAAGGTGTTTAATTTCTGAGTCATTCCGCTGCCCTGCATGAAACAGCGGACATTTCTCCGCATCAACAGTTGCCTCCATTTTGCACCTATGACTCATGAGCTGGTAGCAGGAGTCTATTTCCAGTATTGGGGCCACACAGCAGTGTTGCATGGACAGTTTTAGCACATGGCAGTGTCTGTGTAAAGTGTAGGGGGATGGCCGGCACAAAATACGGCCAAACTGATCTCCGGTCAGTGAGAATGTTTTTTTCCCTGGTGGATAATGTTGCTTTTTATGAGAGTGGTGAGTCAGTGTATGAGTTGTAGGATCACTCATGCTGACCATCTCACTTTTACTATGTTTTTCTTTCCTTTATCTAAACTAACTCTAGTTGTTTTTCTCTAACCTTTCAGTTCAGCTCTATGCGAACACTACTTTAATCCTGCGCTGTCATAAAAGGCTTGTTTTCATTTTCCGGCCCTTTATAGTCAAGCTTCTTAACAAGTTTCATGTTTCATGTGCAGATAGCAGGTGAAATATTTGCCTTCTCATACTGTATTGTTTCCAGTAAGCGTTATGGGGCCTGTGTCATAAAGCTGACTAATTTGCTGTGGTTAGTATTCGTCCTTTCCCTTCAACGTTCTTTGTTGGCCCACTTTTATCCACATGAAGAAATGGGTCAAACCGAAGGAAAAAAAGAATGTATGTTTCCTTACTGCAGCTCACTGTAATGCATGACTGGAAGGTACTGCAATGTTTGCAGTTTTATTAACTTCAGTCATTTACAGGTATGTCAGAAAACCCAAACACTCTAAATGACTGACAGGCAGAGTGCACCTCAAAGTCTTCATATACTAAAAAGTTGTATTTTTTAAAATAATATTTTTTTTTGACAGATTTGATTTTTCAGCAGTCAGATTGTATGTATTAATTTATTAGTGTTTACATAGACAGGTATATTCCTCTAACTTTTTAACCTCTTGACCTCTGACTGACTTACAGTCTGACTCAAGCACTTTTCAGCATCCAGTCATTGATGAATAAAAATGACATTCAGGATTGTCCACTTGAATATCCCGTTTTATTCGCAAATATATCCGATTAAAAAGTCATTGTGAAGTTTCACATTAACTTTAATGATTATAATTTCATTTTATATTTAATTTTGAAAAGGTATAAAAGTTTATCTTTGTATCGTATTTATCCCTAAATAGTACATATTAGTGCTTTAAAAGTACATCTTAGTACCTTTTGAAAAGGTACTGCCCCAGTGACACTTTTGACATTCCCCTAAATTCATCTGAACAACATGCGGTTGAGTTAATGATGACAGAATATTTATTTTGAGAGAACTATGCCTTCAAATTGAATGAGAGGGAGAAAGTAAACTGCCCATGAAGCTGCATTTCTAATTTGATTCTGCTCAGTTCACAGGCCATGAACTAGACAGCCTTCCTTGTTTCTGTGGAGGCAGAGAGAGAAAAGAAAGAAGAAAGAAGAAGAAAGCCTGCAAAAGCCTTGCTCTCCCCCTCCCTCTCCTCCCCTTCTCCCTGTCAGGTTGGCTTTGTGCAAATATCTGAATGATCTTGTTCTGCTGTGACCACGGAGGGAAAGAAGCCACACCTACTCTCAGCCAACCTCAAGCCCAGCTCAGCAGGCACACAAGCAGTTGCACGTTTATGTAACACACACACACACACACACACACACCAACCCATAGCTGCCCCCTCTGGCTGGAATTTGAATTGTGCACGACAGCTGCATCTTCACCCCTCCTCTGAAGAATACATGGTAATGCTTTTTTTACTGTGTCCCTGATACAGATATTACATGTTACTTTGCTTGATTACAATTCATCGTTATTATTACTCTATAAATACACATACACTCATCTATCTGGTATAGATCATAAATCATACGAAGCATTTCAACACGGAGAGATTTTCATTGGCTTAATATCTGACATTCAAGAAAAAATATCAAATTAAATTTCAGTTTCCATATTAAACAGGAGAGCAATTGTTTGACCAATTTACACGAAATAATACACTGTCTTTTGTACCATTATAAAACTATTGTGAGGACTGAAAGTAAGGCTGAAAGTAATATTTAACAATATAATACTTGTAAACCTTTGAAATACATAGAGGATAAATGTTTTACATTGTTTTACAAAACTTCTGTTACATTAAGCATAGATTGAATGTTGAACAAATGACTTGGAGTTAGCCAGTAAACTTTTCCAATTTGCTATCATTTAAAATGCATTAGCAGGAAAAGACTTATACAACATCTACATTACCTACCAAAAGCAACAGTAATCACCATAATGGTTACTTCAGGATATTAATGTCAATAAAAGAGCAAAACTTAATAGAGTCAAACATCCCTTGTGTATATGTATTTTGTAGCACCAATCAATACATTACAATTTATCAGTATGTATACTGGGCAAAAACACTATAACATTGGCATTGTTATCACTATGCTCTACTGACTTTTGTTTTTGTTTGTTTGTTTGTTTGTTTATTTGACAAAAAAAGTAGTGAGCACTCTATTCGTCAAGGATAACACAATAAAGTTTAAAACAAAACTAATATCCATTGTGGTCCTTGATGTAAAGCATAAACTTCACTCCCGGTAACAGGTACACTGGCACTGCATTATAAATACAAAAATTACAATAAAATTCCACTGACATACACTGATTTCCCTCTAAAATTCAGAATTTGTATTTACATTTTTATTGTCAGAATACAGTCTATTATTGTTTGAATACTGTAAAAAAAACAATGTAGATTTAGCCATAATAAATAATATTTTTGACTTGATAAATGTGTATATAAATGAATGTATTAATAAATGAATAAAATCAATTACATTTTATGAGAAATATTTTTAAAGTTACCTGAAACACAAACAAGTACTTTGAATGAAAACAATGGTGGATAATGTAAGATTTAAAGGCAGCAGACATATAGATTCTACAGGAGCTTAGAAGTTTCAAAAGAATGAAAGTTTGTGCCATATAACAGTGAGCTTATGCCGGGTTACATCTGTATCAAAGGTCACTGAGAGTTAATTATTATGAAGGACGCTGAGCCCTAAAGGATGGAGCCAAGACTGTCAGACTTTCTGGATTTTTAAACCTGTTGCATAACATAGGATTCGCTATCAGACATTTCATTCAAAGCAATGCAGTTTTATATGGTGTGTTGCTGTGAATGTGTTTGCAATGTTTTGGCAGTCATGTGATTGTACATTAATTCATGTGATCTTGTATTTGTGACCGTGTGTGTGTTGAGGGGAAAGGCCCAGAGTGAGGAGCCAGAACTGGAAGTAAGAAACAGACCACACACAGCTGCGACATGGAGAGAGTGGGTGTGAGGAAGTGTGTGGGAGCTTGACATTCACAAAAACACACAATAAGCCATATTCAGTGAGGGAGCGAGACAGAGAAAAAGAAACAGATTGCAATATATCGATATGGGGGAAGCAGACTGAAAGAAAGATCTTGAATATGACATCCTAAATTCTAAGTTTATTACATCTGTTCACCTGATGTTTATTTCTTTAATGCCCTGGAACACTTTTAGGCATCCAACAGCATTTTCTACAGTTAGTCATATTAGCAGGTGACGGTTAATGTCAGTTAGAGGGTCGAACATTGCATCATGTGTGGCAGGTGGGTGAGGTGTCCAGCAGGCCCAAGCGGGCATGAACAGAGCATGGCGGGCAGTGCCAGGTCCGTCTGTGGTGCTTTCCGCCTGAGCAGGTGAGGAGAATGGAGCTGTGGGAGAGCAGTGCAGAGCGGCTGCAGCATTAACCTAATTACAGGCTGGCCCTGCTAAATAAACACTTATTAAATTTGCATGCTCAAATACACTTCTGGACAGAGGCGGTCACAGTGCATGCAGCCTTTTGCTGTCACCCAGAAGTCCATACTTTGTTAAAAAAAATTATAATAATAATTAGTTCTAAAAGCACATGATGTAATGTCCCTGCTCAAAATAAAATAAAATATGTATGAAATTAAATTATATTAATTAAATAAATAAAGATAAAAAATATACTACATATAAAATGACATTCGTCCAAGGTCTCTCCCTCTACAGACTGAAATGCTTGGATAGAATCCAGCACCCTGTGACCCTGCATATAGGAAAAGTGGTTTGAAAATAAAATAAAATAAAAGAGTTTAGAAGGTAAAAATATTATTATTATTATTAATAATAATAATAATAATAATAATGAACGTGGGGAAGTGGAATCCTTTTTTAACTGAACACCAACTTATTTTATGTTAGGTTCAGACACCACAGAAATTAAATGAAATAAATAAAATAAAATATAAAATAATAGTTTAGAAGATAACAAATATTATTATTATTATTTATTTTTTTATGAATGCAGGGAAGTGGAATCCTCATATGTTATTTAACCGAACACCAACTTATTCTATGTTAGGTTCAGACACCGCAGAACCACTCTCTGACCAAAAAACCTCGTGCTCTCATTTAATTTGTTAACTGCACAGTTATCAAGGGTCAGGGTTTGTCTGCTTTAGTTGGACTTTGATAGCCTCTGCTGGTAGATGCTGTAACTACACCAACTGCCTCTGAAAAGCATCTTTCTCCATCGACGGACATTCAAAATTAGCCATGTTCTGTTGACTTTAGGCATTAACCACTTCACAAGACATTAATTGAAGTACTAGAGTTGTGTGGATTCCTTGTGGATTATTGTGAGTCTGACGGCACCCATTTACTGCAGAGTAGCCAATATTATTGGTGAGCAAGTTATAGAATGCTACATTTCTCCAACAAACTCATCTACATCTTGGATGGACCGATTGTAAATTAAATGTTCAAGAAATGTTGACTTTTATTTTTTACTTCTCACTACTGTAACACAATAACACAATACTGTAACACAATCACTTCTGCCACTAGGTGCCATTCGTGTCAACCGCCACCAGGGGTCTCCCTCTCGCCGCTCATCGAGGGCGCACATTTTAAAGATCAGAAACATACGGGAACAATGTAAATTCTTCCTCTCAGAATTAAACAACAACATCCAACACAACAAACAAAAAATGCAAAGCAAGGAATATATTTACCTAACAACAAATATACACGCAATATTAACAAAATATGTGTTATTATTTTACATTAAAAAATTCCAGCGACACTATCCTAGTCCGTTCAGGAAAGAAAATTGCCATGTTTTAAAACGAAAAAGTGTTGAACTGTAGCCACGTATTATTCTGTTGGTAATCATGTTCCGATCCAATGAGATTTGAGCAGATTAGCTTCATATGGAGGCTGGATTAACCTCCACCCGTACGAATCCGCGTCAGTATATTTCTTTCACACGTAGCAACACAATAGAGTTGTTTCTTAAGTCGTTTCGAGGATTTCTGTTCAAGAATTTTCTTCTTGAATTTAGGCACCTTGCAGCTCCCCGTGCAGTCTGCCACGACACTGACAGATCCTGGGCTGGACCGCCTTTGATAAGCATCCTATGGTATTTTGTTCAAGATGGCGGTGGCGAGCATGGAAAAGGACGCGATAGTAAGTCACAAATACTTTTGAAATCTTAAATGCTTCTGATTTTCATCAATAAGCCATTATTGTTAATACAAATAGATTTAGTTAGTAAGAAGCGCAGTGGAAATCTGTATGCATCACATGCAATGAGATGACTCGTTCATCTCTCATACCTAGAGTTGAAAAAAATCATAATGATTGTGTTGAAATGCAGACGTGGAAGACCGCAATGGAATACTTCAAGACTTCTTTTAACTCTAATGTATTTAGTGCACAGCCTGTTTTTTTTATCTTGTCTTTAAAGCTGATACAGAAGCAGATGTAGAAGGCGTGTCGTTGTTATTGTTAAAATCTGCATGTGCATCTGCATTACAGCGCTCGTGTGTTTTTGCATTTCTCATATTTAAGGGCTTTCTTAAACTTGTAAATCTTCTCTTTCTCATCTGAAGAACACAGAAGATGATCTTCACATTAATAACTCGTTTGGAGATACTGGGCTTATTTCCCCTGATAAAGAAGACATCGCTCGTATTCTGGTAGAGTAGATGTTTAAAAGCATCGTTGTTATCTTATGATATAGGTTCTGTTGCATTGATGATTTTTGTTCCCCATTTGATATACCAGACAGTTCCTTTTAGTGGACGGATCAGAGGTGGGATGAGGCCTGGGAAGAAAATTATTATAATGGGCATCATTGATCCAGAGCCAGACAGGTATGTTTTCATATCAAAATTGCATTAATTTAAGAATGTACACATTCTAGCAGTTGCAAAGAGTTACATCAGACAGAAGCTCTGTCTCAGAACCTTGTAAGCTTCTTTAAACCACATTTTTTGGCACTGCGGATCTATATGTTGTCTAGATAGGCAGCACTATGTTTTGAGAAACCGAGCCTCTTGTTTCAGATTGCACTGGGTTGTAGATCTGCTTGAGAGACACTGCATGGGTGTGTGCACTGCTTAGTGATGATGGGTGTTTGCATTAGCTGTTAAGGAAACAAATATAAAAACTGTGAGAGCATTGGGTGTGTCTTGGAAACTTAACATTTTAGGATGTTGATTCAAATAATCAGTGGTAAATCTTTTGATTCACAGCTAGTTCACGTTAACCTTATGTTGTTCCAGCCAGTATGAGTTTCTTCTGTGATAGGGTATACTGTATAAATATATACACCCGGGAACACTTCAGGGGTACATTTACTATAATTCTCAGTCACCAGGCATTCACATTGTTGCAGTTGTGTCGCTGCTTTACTTATATGATAAATATAGAATAGTAACAGAACTCTCTCCACTAGCAGAGCTGGGCTAGGGTGAAATATTTGTGTTTTATTAATTAAATTAAGTATTTAGGTATTGTAAGGAAGTGGAGCACCAACAGGCATGTTGCATATGAGAGTCTAAGAATGGGCAAGGCTGAAAAGACTTAACACTCATTTGTGATATTACACTACGGTTCAAAAAATTTGGGTGTGGTAAGGTCTTTTATGCTCACCAATTCTGAATATATTTGAGCTAAATACACTAAAATGTTGTATGCAGTAATGTTGTAGAACATTTTTCAATTTAAAAAATCACTTTTTTATTATTATTTGAATTTATATTAAAGTGTAAAAGCTGAATTTCGACAGCCATTACTCCAGTCTTCAGTGTCACGTGATCCTTTTGAATTATGTTGAAAACGGTTGTGCTGCTTAATTTTTTGCTTTCAGGCATCTTTGAATGGAAAGTTCAAAACAGCTGCATTTTGACAAATCTTTTGTAATTTCCTTACTATCACTTGATTAATGTAATTCTTCCTTTCTGAATAATAATAATTAAATGTATTTAAATATTAATTTTTCTAACCTCAAACTTTTAAACAGTAGTGTAGTTGTTTGTTTCTTTAAATCTAGTTCCAAAGGCTTTTTGTCACGATTAATATTTATGCATTTAGGAGACACTTTTATCCAAAGTGACTTGGATTGTGTTAAGGATATGAATTTTGCTGGTATTGTTCTCTAAGAATCATTTATTAATGTGCTGGTCTTTTTTTTTTTTTGAGAGTATAGTACTGGTTCCTGGCCTAAGGGAATGGAGCAGTTTAAGTTGGTGGCCTAGTCTTTAAATTGTAATTATGCAGCATTTTAATTAAGCATGCACATTACAGTCCTGATATGTCAATGGTAAGTCATTTCAGCTCAGGAATTCAGCCTTTCTAAACAGACTGCTGATCCCTTAGGAATGCACTGTGATGCTCACTCGGTGTGAGAATGGATTTCAATGCAGGCCTAAATTACTATGTAAAGTAGATGCATGCTATTTCTCTGTAATGTTTGGTATATTGGCACACTGTTTGTAATGCTTCATGCAACACTTGTCATTTTTATGTTTAGTCATATGGTTATGATGACATAACATATGAAACCTATTAGTACACATGAATAAATCTTTAAAAAAAAAGAAGACCAAGAACTTTAGGCAGTGCATTGCACCAGAAATTGGCTTTTTACATGCTTAAAGTTTGTTTTCTGCACAGCTTTGACATCAGTTTGACCTGTGGCCACAATGAGGAGAACGATGATGAAGACCTCACTGATGTGGCCCTTAAACTCAGAGCAAGATTCACTGAAAGGCAGTTCCTGAGGAATGCACGGGTTTCTGGGAAATGGAGTGAGGAAGAGACACCCATAACTTACTTCCCCTTCATTCCGGACCAGCCTTTTAGGGTAGCTGAAACACTGACATCTACATGCTCTCTAATCTGAGATCTCTAATCTGCACGAAGCATGAGTCCAGGGTTGTGTGCAAAACTGATGGCAGCTGCTTCATTACTTACAGTCAGATTTAACTGACACCGCTGTTGTATTTGCAGGTATCTTTTCAGACAGAAGGAAATATCCACATATGGTGATAGATATATATATACAATGGGCAACATTTGAAGTGGATTAAAAAAGTTCAACAAAGTTGTCCTAAGACAAGAACGCTTTTAGGTTTTAGGACCACTTTGATGAAAGGTTTTGATCCACTTCAAATGTTGACTACTGTATATATATATATATATCTCCAGAAAGTATGTCTGCTTTTGCATGACTGTTTATTCCTTTATAATAGCCAATTACTGAATTATTCCATATGGCGGAGAGTTGTACCACCAAAGTGGGTAAAGATGCTTGAAGATAATGAGTGCTTATTGTTTGTAATCTGGGCTGAAGGTGAACCAAAAAATGGGTCACTGTTGAGCTGAGATAAGCAGTCATGCAAAGTAAGACAAGCACTTCCTTTCAACACACTGTTCACAATGTGTCTCAGTGACTGACAAAGGATTCTTTTGATTTGATCTGATTTCGCTCTTTCTCTCCTGTCCTTTCCCCATTTATACAGATTGAGATCCATTGTGAGCACCAGCGTTTTAGGATCTTTGTGGATGGACACCAGCTGTTTGACTTTTATCACAAAGTAAAATCTTTGCAAGCCATTAATATGATACGGATAGTTGGGAGTCTTCAGATCACCAAGCTGGGCTAACCAAGCACACCTGAGCACACGCCAGAAGGGACTTCTGACCATCTGCACCTGTGCGTTTGCCGCAGCTCACACAAAGACATCAACAACATCTGCATTTCCACTTCTCTTTTGCCCTCTAACCTCACATTGTAATGATTTCTGAGGATTGTATCATACCAGGTTTGGTGAATGGTTGCAATATCAGATGTGTGTTTTCCAGTATCTTTGCTTCACATTGTAGCTTATTTGTTTAGCTTCAATCATTTTTCAGGGATCACACACTTTGATATGCACTCTGTGGCAGTAACATACAGTATGCCACTGGGATTTAGCTGCTCTCCATAGACACTGCCAGTGTGCTTGTGCTTGTAGTCTAGCAGTGTAGGTTCGAAATGATCCAAAACTCAGGAAATCGGATAAAGTTGATTTTACTTAATTTCACTCTGATGACAAATTTGCTTTAAATTATTATGAGTTACTCTGAAATGCTTTGGCTGCTAGAATATAGGAGCTCAGAGTCCGCATTTGCTGTTCCACCTGGGTTTGATTTGTTATTTAATCTGAATAATTAAAATATTTTGGAAGGAAGATGTCATTTTATCTCCAAATTGTGTAGCGGGGTGTATGGTAGACATTTAAATAGCATACCTTTCCTGTCTCTGTTCATTGCAACTACTCATTTTGGGAGATATAGAATATGTTACACTAAAGTTTTGTAGAATGTCACGATGAGGATTATTTAATTTGAGGTAGAGGAAGTTTTTATTTTTGGAAATTTGATCATCCAGTCATTCTCCTCCAAGCCAGCACAGTATTTAATTACAACAGTATAATGTTAAATCCTTGGCAACCAAACCAACACAGATGTTTAATTACATTGTTTTCTCTGAGGAATGACTTCAGTGCAGCAATTTTGCAAAAAATAACTCCGCTTATCTGTTTACGCTTTATTATGAGCACCTCGTAAAAGTTGAAGGAGCAGATATAACAGGGCTGAATTGTTTCTTGAATGTACTGTCATCCACTGATAGGCTTCGTAATAGCTTAGCTGTGGGTGTAAAGTGAGTGTCTCCTCCTCCTTCATACTCCTTATGTCACTCCTCTTAATACATATTTTAGACTCTAGGTAGCATGGTACATTTCTTTTTCCTCTTGGATTTTCAGAGCTTTGCTTTTAGAGCTTAATATGTCAGTTCTTTTATTTAAAGAGACTATTTCAGATGTGTTCATGTATTACTAAAGTGGCCCATTACTTGGAGTTAGTTTGTGATGTTGGATGTAGTTGCACAATAATGTTCATGCATTAAAATCGGAGTTGGTTCAGTGTGCTTTCGAAAACTTGGTATTTATCAGAAATGTGCCTATTGAAATATGGCGTTGGTGTTTGGGACCTAAAATTGTATTCTTACTAATGATTTACATAAACAGACTTCAATTTTGAGTTGCACTTTTCAAAGTATTTTTTTTTTGTAATGCACTTTTTGTAATGCAAGCTAGTGCTGATATTGAAACCAGAGGCGGACAGTAACTAAGTACATTTACTTAAGTATTGTACTTAAGTACACTTTTTGAGTATCGGTAACCTCTGATGGAAACTAATCAAAACCAACAATAAATTCATAATTTGCCAAGGTATGAAATGTTTGTCATTCTGAATCCCCTGTAAAATACTTCAATGTGTATGGTACAACTAAAGAGTAGCTTTAACTAAAATGTGCATTACAAATACCTAAAAGTACACAAGTGGTGATTAATTCTGTTTGGTCATCTGGAAAAACAAAGTTAATGTGAATGCATTGTGTTTTGATTTTAAAGGCAAGATTTGGTTATTTTGTGAATTTTGTAACCTCCATGAATTTCGGTGCTTTTCTAATGGATTTGCAGACCAATAAATCAGTCCTTACACACTTGGAAGTCATTTAATGTGACCTGTATACACTTAGCATTAGCTTCACCTGATTTTTAAAGCTGCTTGGCGGTTTACCAGTTCAAACAAAACGCAATACGTAAACGGCATCAAACTCTGTAAATACTGTAAATTGCGAGAATAAAGTGCACTCTACTGGTTGGTTTCTTTAATTGCAGAAATTAGTTTTTATTTCATTGACTGTAATATGCATAACATGTTTTGAAGCCATAATTAACATCACCCTCAGATCAGCCCTTATGTGTTCTACGGTTTCTACTGGCTATACAAAAACAGAAAAGGCAGTGCATTTGTCACAATGCGAAGTTCATTCACGAAAGTGACCGATAGAGAGAGCTATACGCGCAAAAATATTCCGTTGCAATCTGTTCTTTTCTATATAATTCTAGTGTTAAAACAAGGTCTACTCACAGTATTAAAAAGGAAATATAAAACCATTAACTCTTTTAAACATCTCTGAAAGACGTGCAACGTGTGTTTTTGGTTCAATGCTAATTAATAATAATAAAATCCAACAAAAGACGAAGAAAACCACACGCCTATTGTTTATTAGTACGGTATGCAGTGGTCAAATAACAAAGGAAGAGGGATTTTTAATACAGTATCTGGCATCCTGACTACGCGGTGACGTAACCATTGACGGCCAACCAGCGCGACTCCAGCGTCGCAGTCACCGTTGACCCCGGCCCGCACAACCATGGCGCTGCTCTGCAGATCCGCAGGGTTACTTCTCAAACATAGTAAACTGTTGCCGTCTGCATTAGCAGCAACAAGGCAATGCAGTTCAGGTAACGGAAATCATGTCCCGTAAGATGAATGGCTTCTTTTTCAGTGTCGCTCTCGAGTTTTGCTTTGGTTGGAAACTTGCGTCATTTGCCTGCGCTAGTTCTGTGACTCCTGAATGTGTTGTACTAGTATCTGCAACTTAATAATGGAAAAACTGAACTTTATAGTAGCCGCAGTTACATTTGTGTGCGACCGTTTACAGCTGAAACATATTTAAGAATAAAATAATAATATAGGTACAGTAATAGTGCGCATACTAGAGATATTTCCACAATTAAAAGCCATGACAGCTTGTGAACTCTAATGAGGTGATATATATGCTTAATCAATACTGTTTTAAGTTATTTAAAAATTGCATGGATCCATTGTGAGTTAGTTTGACCCCCACCTTCATCTCTATTGCAGGTGGCCAGTATCAGTACATACTAGTTGACAAAAAGGGTGAAAAGAAGAATGTTGGCTTTATCCAACTGAACAGACCAAAGGCTCTGAATGCTCTTTGTGATGGGCTTATGATGGAGGTGGGCAAAGTCCTTGATGCATTCGAGGCTGACAGCGAAGTGGGAGCAATTATCATCACAGGAAGCGAAAAAGCCTTTGCGGGTGTGAAACCGTCTGTGAAATTAGTTGTGTTATGTAGAATTGTTTTGGATTGATTGTGTTTTATTGACATGTTTGCTTTCATAGCTGGAGCTGATATTAAAGAGATGCAGAATCGAACTTTTCAAGAGTGCTATGGTGGAAACTTCTTGGCACATTGGAACAGGGTATCAACAGTTAAAAAGCCTGTTATAGCAGCTGTCAATGGGTTTGCGGTAGGTAAAATATTTAAATGCGTTCTCTAGAAAGACTCCCCCTTGAGTGCTTCAGGCATAAACATAAATGTATTTTCTGTCCAGCTTGGTGGAGGATGTGAGTTTGCCATGATGTGTGACATAATCTACGCTGGGGAGAAAGCACAGTTTGGACAGCCAGAAATCCTGCTTGGGACCATTCCTGGTACAATAATGCATCATTTTTTTGTTATGTTGATTAATTGATGAAGAATAATTATAAATGGGAATACTTAAAAAGAAAAAAAAGGCAGCTGAAATGACATTATTTCTTTGGCTTCAGGTGCTGGTGGCACTCAGAGGCTTACAAGAGCAGTGGGAAAATCCCTTGCAATGGAGTTGGTTCTCACAGGAGACCGAATTTCAGCTCAGGAGGCAAAACAGTCTGGTTCGTCTTTCAAAATTTCTTTTGCACTATAGCTTATTTCTTCTTCTCTCAATTTAAGAAGTGGACCAATGTGTTCATTTTCGCAGGTCTGGTAAGTAAAGTGTTTCCTGTGGATCAGCTTGTTTCAGAAGCGATCAAATGTGGAGAGAAAATAGCTGGCAATTCCAAACTTGTCTCAGCCATGGCAAAGGAAGCTGTTAATGCAGGTAAGAGTTTCATTAAAGAGATAGTTGATACTTTTATTGTTGAAATATTTTGTGCTCATATTTCATGAATGACTTACATTAGGTTCATGCATCCAAATTTCATGCATCCAGATTAAAAAATACATAGAGTCCTGTGCAGCCATTTAGTTTTATTTGATCTTTAATTACAGCATTTGAACTGACTTTAGCTGAGGGCAATCGACTTGAGAAAAGATTGTTCCATGCAACTCAGCTCAGGAGGCAAAACAGTCTGGTTCGTCTTTCAAAATTTCTTTTGCACTATAGCTTATTTCTTCTTCTCTCAATTTAAGAAGTGGACCAATGTGTTCATTTTCGCAGGTCTGGTAAGTAAAGTGTTTCCTGTGGATCAGCTGGTTTCAGAAGCGATCAAATGTGGAGAGAAAATAGCTGGCAATTCCAAACTTGTCTCAGCCATGGCAAAGGAAGCTGTTAATGCAGGTAAGAGTTTCATTAAAGAGATAGTTGATACTTTTATTGTTGAAATATTTTGTGCTCATATTTCATGAATGACTTACATTAGGTTCATGCATCCAAATTTCATGCATCCAGATTAAAAAATACATAGAGTCCTGTGCAGCCATTTAGTTTTATTTGATCTTTAATTACAGCATTTGAACTGACTTTAGCTGAGGGCAATCGACTTGAGAAAAGATTGTTCCATGCAACCTTTGCGACGGTGCGTCACTTTTTTTCCACTTATTAATTTCCTTTTTTGAAGAAAAAGATGACTTCATTCTTGAACTTGCTGTGTTCTCATTTTCAGGAGGACAGAAAGGAGGGCATGACTGCTTTTGTCGAGAAGCGAAAGGCTGCTTTCCAGGACAAGTAAATTTCCAGTGGAAATTATGGTGATTTTTAAACCATGGTGTTTGTGATCAAATGCAGTTATTAAAATACTCTACTTTTCCTTAATTTTCTAATCAAGTGTTTATTAAAAAAACATCAGGATCTGTACTTTCGGGTTGGCGGACTTAACATGTAGTTCAATGAACTCAAATTTAGCTTGGTTTATACATTACATTAATTAATTAATTAATGTCTGGGTATTGTTGATTGTCTGCTATTATCACCTTGAAACCTTCTTTGCTGATACAACATAAATAGAGGCATCCAGTACAATAACTGTGTGTAATTTAAACACTCGGTCATGCTTTATACTAGCATACACTTTAGCAGTTAAGAGAGAGAAAATGGCATTGCCATAACCTTTCTAAATTGTTTGTAATTACTGTACAACACTGTTGAAGGTTTTGCAAAACCCCTCTGATTTGACTTTGCATGTTGATATGGCGATTATTTGACTAAAATGCATTGGGAAAAGACGTCGCAATTCCACTTTGTACACTCTAGGTGGTGCTGTGGGTGTATTTTCAGTCACTCGTGCGGCTTATTCATTGAGGTAGCCTAATAAAGTCGCTGTAGTAGTATTTTTGTAGTGATTTTTTAAATGGTATATCTCCTATTTGACAATTAATTGAGTGTAATGTAATATTATTAAGGGTTTTCATCTGATATAGTGCAAAATGGGCTTTTGGAGGGCACTGTGAACTATTGTTTATAAAAACAGCGCAATGCAGGTTTCGTGCGGCATAGTGAAGTTTGTTTATAACCAACGACAGGATCAACATATTCATAGCAAAAACTCTTTCAAATAATCTAACCTTTAACATATCACTGTATGTATTGAAACGATGAATAACTAGCATTTTCAGCTGATTAATATGCTCTTTTTAATTAATGTTACTTAAATAACTTGCTATTTGTATCCGTTTTTCAATAACTTAAATGCAAGTTATGAAATCTATCGCAGCTTTTAAAGCTAAACCGCTCAAACTTTCTAGTTACTGGCGAATAACTGTAATGTCGTTTAATCATAACTTTCATCAGTTGTCAGGTTAAAGATCACCAGAGAACTTACAACCCACTTTTACGCATTAAACGCTGGCTATTTTATGTGAAATACAGCGTCTAGAAGGACCACGGCAAATGTAATTAAAGGAAGAGGCTATTCATCTCAATTGCACATCAACGGAGAGCATTTTCTCACTTGAAAATCTCGGCTTTTTTTTCGCACGGCGTCTTTCCAAGCACTCAAAAGTCCATAGCCTAATTGATTTTAATTTTCATTCAATATTCCCTCGGACTCCAGCTTTCTTCTCAGCCCCTAGAACAAACCTTTTAAAAGAGGAGAAAAAACCGTTCTCTCCACACATCGCAACAGCACAAAGGTCTCCTTAAAGACAGCAAAAGAAAGGTTCCACTTTGAAGTCTATCCCCTGCTAACGAAAGGTCAAAATAATAAATGTAGACCGAATTGAGGCGCTCAGCGCAGACAAAAGGGGCAAAACGTTACATTTTGGCAGAGGCAGCTCCTCATAGCGTGATAAACTCATTTAAAAAAGCAGAACCAAAGAGGGAGCAGCATGGTTCCTCGGTAAAAGAAAAGAGCTTTGAACTGATCAGACAGTCTTGGCTCCTCCGAATGTCTTTTCTTCCATCAGTCTTCCATCTTTCCACTTTCACTCTACATTTCGCAGCTGCAAAGCCTCCACACACCTCTTTTGGAGCAAATTTCCCTGAATTACAACCACATCACTAGCAGTTCCTCTTCATCAGTAGCAGCTGCACGTCTAGGTGTCGTTCTTCATTTAGACGCGAGTTTAACTTCAATTAGCTTTCTAATTTCTTTTTTTTCCAAATAAATGTCCTACTAGATAGGGGATAACATCTAAAAAATGTTTTAATGACATTGCAATTTGCTTAGACATTGAATACTTTATTTATTAGCATTGGATCTTGCGGGAATGCAACAGTATTGTCGAACATATAGTCAGGAGCGATAATGTACCATTTCACGCGGGATCTTTGAGAATCAGTTTAAAGTGTTTCAGTCACACCGCAAATGATGGGCTTGAGTACAAGGATCTTTCCTCAACATTTTACACTAGGCTACCTTAAGTTTTATATCAAGTTAGCCTAATGGTTCACATTGTGCGCAAAATTACAATGCAATGCTTGGTCGTCAGAGACGAGTCATGCATGATAAAAATGTGAAATAATGATTTTGAAAACACCTGTTGATATAGGCTAATCTGTTATGCATTATTTTAAGATCTATACGGATATTACAATTAGCCTACTCTAGCACTGCCACTGATGTTATTTGGTAATTTTTTTAATGGGTAGTAGTTTGCTAATTAATCATGTATATAGCCTAGGCCTACGTTTTAAATATAAATGCGAAAATAACTATAAAGAAAAATATAAGATATCGAACGATCGAGTGGATGTCGGTTACCTCTCACGCAAAGGCTATTTCTGTTTGCTTTCTGATAACTTGACATTTTCATTAGGCTATTTGCATGCTGGGTATCTGAAAATGTGAGAGGTTATGACTCAAATAACACAATAAGTAAATTTATGCAAAGGCAATGCTGAAAATGAAAATGCCTCCTCATTCTGAAACGGAAAGTAACGTTAGACCTATATGTAGTCTATAACCAGTCGTGCTTAAATATGAAATAAATAGTTAAAACTAGGCTGCTGTCATGAGTACTAAGAGGTACGCAAATTACGTAGGCTATTCGAAACGCAGGTTGCGTTAGAGACGTACTGTAGCTCTACCAATTGAAATGCATTAAAGGGTCACATGATTTTCCACAAACTCTCTCGTGTTCTGTCACTTTTTTTGAAATGGTTATACTAAAAAGGAATCCCGTCCATACTTACGCCTGAATTATTGTTTGCTTTGGCGCAAATGGGTCATGGAGATGAATTAGGTAAGTCGTTAATGAGATCAGATCACAGTGTTCCTTTTTACGAACTTGACGCCAGCCTTCTGAAGCCTGGCGTTCTTGTGTCACGCATGTGATATCTGGATTAATATAAGACGATAAATGTGTTAGGATGATTATATCCTGTCATAGGTTTATACAAGGTTAGATACGATGTAAAAACGCCACGGATAAATCCTAGTTCGTGCAGTAAAGCGGGAAGTCACATTGCTTTGGCAGCGCTCCGTAACGCGCAACTTGCGCTTTCATTTCGATCATCAAAATGTCACTCAAAAAACTTTGTAGGCTGTCTCTCATAAAAATGTCACATTTTTATTATCTCTAAGCCAAAGCACATATCCGCATATTCGACTCCCGCTGATGTTGAAAAGCGTTGATTTCCCGTCCGTCTGTAGCTTTGAGTGGATCTGGTTTGTCTTGAGCACAGAGGAGACATCAGTGCAATACAGTTTTAAGACCCCTATGTATGGATTGTCATGTATCATGACTTTTTTGTTTGTTCTTGCAGACGCAAATTGTCCAACCTCATCTATTTGTAAATGTAGTCCAGTGGAGATAAGAGCGGATGGTGTGTGTCCTACAAGCGTCTAAACTTTTACAAAATGTAGCAGGTATTGTTTCTACAATAAAACTGTTAAAAATAATTACTTGCACTTTAGTAGTTAAAAGAAAAAAGATTTAGCACATTTCTTACACTGTTTAAAATAAATCTCATGTACATTTTTTATGGTTTTACATAAGAAATGATAACTGATAATTTGTAGCCTAAGTTGTTGTAGTTCCAGATCTACTCAGCCCAAAATCATTCTTAATATGCAAATGACATTTTTGTCACTGATTGCTGTGCATTTAGTTGTTTAATCAAGTATATGGTTTTACTTTTTAAGGTGTATGTATACCAGAACTTCTGAAGGCAATACTGAAGCTTTTTCCTCTTGATACCTCTGATGATTCGGTGGGTAATAACATTTGTACTATTATCTGGCATCTTTTATTTTTTAATGGCTAAACCACAAATTTCACCTCCGTTTGTTAATGTATGTAACTTGTCATAATTGTAGATTGTGTCTGACACTAAATAAGGTCTGATTTGTTAGGCAGCTGTCATGGACCTTGTGCAGAGTGACAAATTTAAGGGTCTGAAAGTGCCGGTATGGGACCAGTATTCTGACCTCCTGAAACAAGCAGGATCAGATGTAAGCTATTATATACATAAAGGGTCATAACTCATATGATGAGAACTATTCATCACTGTTTAAAACTAGGTTTTCAAAGGGAGTACAAATCATTTGTCCAGGACATAAAATATTATCTCAATAATATAATATTTTACTTCAAATTTCATATACATACATACACGCATATATATATATATATATATATATAATCACATTAACAAACAGTCTTAAAATGTAGTATGCTTTTTTTTCTTTCAGGGTAACTTCAAGTTTGTTGATCGGTTTGCATTTTATGAGCGTGCCAATAAGTCATTTGCTGTAGTGGCAACTGGGTGAGCATTTATATTTATGATCTATGATGGGTCTGTTTAACTATTAAATTATTATATATTCATATTTAAGAAAAATTATAATTATGGATGATCCGTAAATCTGTTTGACAGGGAGACTGCACTTTATGGAAATCTCATAATCAAGAAAGGTGTCATTCCGCCTGGTGAACAGTGCTGAAAGAAAGCTGTTTGGTACAGTTTTTCAGTGCCAGAGTTTTTACACCAAATTACTATATATAACGCACATACAAAATACCTTTATATTTATAAAAAAAGATTGTATATATAAAAAGTATGTTATTAATTTAATGCCATCCTTTTAGATTTTGATTGCAAAATGACTGCTTTCATAATTGTTCAAAAAGTTCAAAGAATTTTCTGTTCATCTTTTCTGTAATGTGATGTTGTAAAATAAGCAATAAGACCATTTCTTTAATAAATAGATTAGAGAAAATCATACAACAACATTGTAGTACATTTTTCTTTTCTTTTTTTAATAAAAGTTTTGTGAAATGAAAGTCAGCTCTGTTTAAACTTTAAAGATTTAATCTTAAAGTTTAAATATAACTGGTCAAATTTAGCTTTTCATGATCAACAGGTGTAGCTCAATCCCCACCTGCACATTTCATTTGGTTGCGCATTGTTCTGTGAATTAACAGCAGCTTAACTGAGCTCTGTGAATGTTCTCACGTTAGGACTATGGAAATGTGAAATGTTTGTTTTTCTTATACCTTGCCTTAATAAATACTTTCAACTTTTAAATAATTTTATTAAAATGTATTTAATTTACTCAGCTATTTCAAACTGATTCAATAAAAAAAGTGATCAATATGGCTTCTTAATTATGGTCACAGTCTTCTCGGTATTGATGAGTTTATCATGCTAAACAGATAAACTGTTTTATTTTTATGTTCAATATTAGCTATATTAAAAAGAAATCATGTTAAAACACATTTTATTTTAAGACTTTAAAAAAAATGAGAGCATTTAATTAAAACTACACATAATGAATTAACATTCAGTATTACAATCCTCTAGACATGACATGACTTATCTTATCATTGCTTATGATAAAGCTTATCCAGGTCTACCTCTGGCTCTGTGTGCACCCTTTGTGGGCGAA